TGGTGGACACAGTGACTTCCTCTCTCTCGATCCACGCTAACAACAAACGCGGTATTAAACAGAGCCCTCAGAAACGATATTAACATAACTGCATGCCAGATGGTATGCTAGTAGTGTTCCCTAATACAATGTAATCATTAAATGGAATGTTTCAAAGTTGTATGGGATTTGGACTGATGCATTTTCAAGACCATTCCATGTAGTTAACATATGTAACCTTTTAAGGACCTCAAATTCTCCATAGACCTAAAAAAACCCATAGATGTTGCATGAGTGCCCCTTCCTAATGGCCCCACTTTGCCCTAGGCCAAGAAAAATGCAACTGTTGACTTATTTGTGTCTGGTGTATGTCATCATGAATCAACACATTAACAAAGAGCAATTAGCTTCCAGCCAGCTTTAAGTTTTAATTGATTCAAATACTGATCATAAATCACACTTGAAGGTGTATAATACACACATTTGGGCAGTACAGCTATCTATCACAGGCAAAATACTGGGAATCTAGTAACTTTGAAGAAAAACACCCTAACCAAGAATCCAACTGTGAAGCAAGAAGATATTATTAACAGAACATGTACAAGAACACCACATAAAGGGCCAAGATATTTGCACATGACTGATTGTCCAGCTTGTCCCTCACGCATAACTGAGCAAGTCACCTTGTACCAGGTTAAAGTGCTATCAGTGAGCTAGCCCATCCACTTAAGCAATTCTGAGATGGCCAGCCTGGCAGTGACTTGTTATGGCACAGCCAGTATGGTAGCAGCTCTGACATCATCAAAACCTTCCATGATGTTCCATGCCATCAGATCTGATGCTTGGCTCAATATCTTCAATGTGGATCACTATCTTTAAGATATTTAGCAGTCATCAAAAGTTGTCCCAAAACATGTAAAAATGACAAAATATGATAAAGATGACATAACCACATTTCAAAACTATTCATTCTAAACAGTACAAAACAGTGCAGAAGAAACACTGACAGTTGTGCTATTTCCTTGGGTTACAGCAAGAAATAGTGCTGACTGTCTTCATGGATTTGTTCCTCATGTTGTTATTGCAAAAAGTAAGGTAAAGAATAAGACAGCATAAAAAGATAACAGCACTTCAAGCTTCAAATCCTACTCAGGTTGAGAACACACCAACACAGAAGACTCATCAAACATGCATTTCCATTACAACATGGTAGGAGGACTATAGTGTTCATTCTGTATTTGAATAGTCAGACATCCCAACTACAGTGGATGTTTATCACTTATGTTTTCAAAGAATTGCACCCTACATACATCCTAATTTTCCTTTTCTCTCAACAGGCAGGAATTTTGCATGTTGAAACATAAATTTTACATCCAGACAATTGAATGATTAATAAAGTGAAGAATCCAAACCTGCTGGCTGAATCTTAAGATTGATGCACTCCAGCTTCAATGCTGAATTAAAATGAGGATGGTAATGTATCAGACAAAAGACAAAAGGGACATGTCAGTAAGTATAAGTGGCAGATACTATGTTGGGCAGGATTGGCCTGTGAAGAAGAAATAAGCTCTGTAAATAATTGACTTATAAACAATACTAAAATAAATAATAATACTTCCTCAATTGAACTCAACTCAATTGAACCCAAATCAGTCGAACAATGCTTCCTCTCCAAATCTGACCAAGTTTGTCTCAATGTTGAGGCCCTGACTATGCTCTATACCACCAAATAAGAAACTACACCTGTAAGTCCCAGAATTAAATGTAGCATGAGCAGCAGAAGCTCATGTAGGGATTACATCCCTCCCCCTCTGCACCTGTCAGCTAGGTGAGAATGATACTATTTTCACTGG